ACAACTAGTAAATATCTGGTGTGTCCACTCACACAACTTTTCTACATATTTCAGAAAATTTTTTATATCTTTACATTTGTCCATGAAGAAACAAAAAAGATTGAACTAGATTTATTTTCCTGAAAATTAATCGAACAAAAGATTGGGGTACGATTTATTTGATAAAGTAAAGCAATATAAACCGCCTTCAGGTAGATCAGTGTAAAAATTTCAATACTTCCTAATATCGCCGATCAAAAACTCTTTGCCATAGCTTAGTATTGTCAAACAATAATTTCTGTTCAACGTAGAGGAAATAGTGAAGATTGGGTGATGCGGGCAGCATATTTCCTTACTTTCACTTAATCATCTTTTTTCTATCATTCACCCCTTTCTGACACAAGGATATGAACTCATAATCTTACATTGGAAATTGAATAGCTGTACCTTCGTTATTAGTTGTCCAAAATTAGTGTTCGCACTATAGTCTTTAAAAAAAACATGTTTTTCGTTTATTGCACGCACGCTATTGCGCACGGAGCACCGAATTTCTGTCACAGGCATCCGTAGTCAAAACCCTACAAAATAAAATAAGAAGCAACAAAATCGGTTCAGTAGTTCCCGAGAAAATCTTAGCACAGACAGACAGACAGGCAAATGGCTAAAAATGTGTTTTTCGGACTCAGTGAGCTCTGAAACGTATAGATCCGTCGAGAACCGCATATCGGAAATTTGACCCGATTGAAATACTTTCCTTACCAAGTATAGGTAGGAAAATAAAAATGCACACATTCTAATGTGTACTCCAAAATTATTTCTAAATAATGACATGAACAGACTTGAAGAGATGATTTCCAGCAGTAGCACTCCCTATTTAATTCAAGATCAAGAGGCCATCTTCTTTTCCTACCCCTAGGGGGATTATCTGGAATCGAGGAAAAAGGAAGGCTGGAAACAAGTGGATTTGGGTGGGACTAGAATTTATCATGAAAGGATAGGTATCTGGTTCGGACTAAATCACCGACATATGGAACATTAAGGTCTTTATGAATGATTTTATTTGTGGCAAAATATGAGGCATTAAGAATTTTACGACGGATTTTGGATTCTAAGGATTGGATACGAGAGGAATTCGATGACTTAGTGGAGCCTCATTGCTCAACTCCGTATGTTCATATAGGTCTTATTATGGTTAAGTAGATGTGTCTTTTGTACTTAATTGAAATTTTAGAGCGTTTGTATAGTAAGTATTGGAGCAGTCGGTAAAATTAAAATCAAATCTTTCTTTTAATATATCTTTCTTATCGTTTTCGAAAAGATCTAGAAAATGTATAAAAATCTGATCGTTAGGAAAAAATTATACTCATCTTACCTGTTTCATAGAGAACGCTGTGCGTTGTAGAGGAAAATATCTATATTTCGATGTCTTCATGAATAGTTTTACTTGTGACAAAAAAAAAAAAAAAAAAAAAAAATCACATCGTAAAGTAGACAAAATTTTCTTTAAGATAACTGTAATTTAATTTACTAAAGCCAATGATAAATGAGACTTTAAGGAGGTCTAATACGGTACGTGTATATGCTGTTCGTGTATAGATATTGTAATTGCAGTACTACAGCACCCTCTATTAGACCACTTGTAAGTCCATTTTATCATTGACCTTAGTAAATTCAATTACTGTTTTCTTTAAAAAAAAATGGTCTATTTTACGATGGTGTGCTTAGAATTTAATTATCTACAGTAATTTTTGAGCAATTATCGTATTTAACAAAAAACGTGACCATCATAAGGAAGGAACAAAATTGGGTTATACCCATTTTCAGTTATATTATATGGGTTCTACCCATGCATCAAATGAACTATTTGTTGGAAATTTTGCCTATAATCACTAATTAGAGTTTTGCTATTAAGAACTGAGATATCCTGTATAGTGCATCTAAAAGAGGTATCACTTTATATATGTGCTCCAAATGTATTTTTGTCCTCTAAGAATGCTGCGAAATTGTTTTCAAATCCCGCAAGGGTGCCTTAAACTATTCTTAACCCATCACTTGACTCATTCTTCTATCTTTGCACTCAGTTCTATCTAGACTCTTGACCAAAAAAAAAGTATGTATTTAATATATATATATATATATATATATATATATATATATATATATATATATATATATGTGTGTGTGTGTGATATTTACAACTGTTTTAAGAACTAAAATAGATTTAGTGAATTTAGTAACTGAAAATAATAACATGAAATTACTTGTTGAAAAACTACCCACTGGTAACACTAAAAAAAAATGTATTTACAATAGGAGGTTTCGGGGCTATCATCTTTTCAGAAGCCTCGGAGGGTTATCAGGAATTGAAGAGGAAGCAAGGTTAGAAACAAGAGGATTCAGATGGTTATGAAGTTTATTATGGAAGGATAGGTATCTGGATTTGGCCAAATCGGAAACATATGGAACATTGAGGTCGTTATGGATTATTTTTTTGGTAAAGTAAAGTAAGTATTTTCTTAGCCCTGATGAAGGCCTGAACTTCAGGTCGAAACGTCGGCATATGTAAAAAATAAATATTATCATTTATTTTTGCCTTCCTTTTTGACTGACCATCCCAACTATTCTTCTCTTCATATTTTTTTATAATTTTATTACGACTTTTAGTTTTTACAAATAGCTGCTTACGCTTTCTGTATTAATGGGCCAAATGGATAAATTCCTTTCCATTTGGAATGGAATTTAATAGAATAAAAGAAAAATCTGTCTTTTTTAATATGTCGACACAAATACCAACCAATAGAAAATTAATTAATCGATATCTTCCTTCTTAGATTGAGATCTTATACAAACGGTACTTGAAATTTCTCTGATAATAGAATTACAATCTAGAACAATAACATCTACTAACCTACTCAGATAAAATGTTGCCAGTCGATTTACCACCAAGATGTGAAGCCTTTTAAAATTAAAAAAAAAAAAAATCAGTGATATCAATTTATCTAATTCAGTACCGCACTACCAGCACGTGGTTCCACAATGTTCACATCTCAGTTTTCTACAAGAAGAGGTACAATCTTTTGTAATATAGTTTTTCCCGAAACACGATTTATTTAAAGACAACACATAAAGTTGAAGGTAACACATAAAAACAAATTAAAAATACCGATGATGTTATAGGTTATGAAAGGAATCCATAAAAATTACGGTTTTAAGTAATTATGTTCTTTTTTTGTTCTATAATTAAATGTCATAAAATAGAAAATGAGAATTCGTGCAACGATAATCAACTGTCAAAAGAAAATTAGTTTGTGGTTAGTATAAAGGTATTAAATATACATGTAGATATATAAACACACAATGAATTCTATATTGCAAATATAATTTTTTCAAGGAATGTAATAATAATTTAAGTATCATTTCCTATATATTAAAAAAAAATAAATTGATCTTTGTATTCAAATTAAAATTAAACATAAATTTCGTTGATTTTGCTTTTACTGTAAATTAAAAATTATATTTTTATAGTACAATTTTAATAACTTTTCCATCCGAATCGAACTTCAATCTATTTGTTTTCGTTCTCAAACCTGGTGTATTTAAATTTAATTTTTTTTTTTAAGTGTTATTAAACTTTACTAAATATTTTTCGGAGCTATGTGATGCAAATATAAATTTTTATTTATTTATTTTTTAAATATTGTTAATAATATTTCTTTATAATTTATAATAGAAAATATCGTCGGATTATTACGAAAAATCATTAACATGTTAAGAAATTAATACACTGTGCCTTATGTTGCGAAATCAAATCGTGCACTTATTGAATCTATTTTTGACATATAATAATATTTACGTCGTTTTTCCGTACTTAATGTTTTTTTCTTTAATAAATACTATCGAAATTCACAAATATATATTAGTTTAGCTCCATTAAAACCATAGTGAGTTTTTGCTATAAACTGCTGATATTTTCTCATATGATTGTATTACAATATAAAAACTAATATTTAAAAATATATTTTTTTATTTATTCATATGACATTCACACTATATGAACAAAAATATAAAATAAAAAGAAGCTAAATAATAATCACAAAATATATACAATGAATAAAATAAAATACAATAAAAATAAGAAAATTAAAACTAAGAAAAAAACACACGCAAACATATATACATTAATTTAAAAAAAATTATATATATTTAAAAAATATTTTATTTGTACCACATATTTCCGAAAATCATAATTAAAGATAAATGACAGTAATTAATAAAATATTGAAACTTTTCAGATATTTCAGAACAATAAAAGAATGATCGGTTAGAAAAGACATTTTTTTTTTTAAGTACTTTATAAAATTATATATTTTTTTTTATAATAATCTTTCTATAAAATATTTTTTTATTTTTCATTTGAAAAAGTGTAATGAATTATTTTTTAAAGATACTCGAGAAATGTTTTATTCCTTGAAAAATAAAATAAGCTGGATTCAGAAATAATATTATTGCCACAGAACTTTTTTTAATATTAAGGTTTGTTTGAAAAAAAAAAAAAAAATCAAATTGGTTCACCTTGGAAAAAAACACTATAATACCACCACAAACTCATTTTCTTCTGATATTTGATTATTTTTAAAGGAAATCGTAGTTTTTTTTATCGCGTTTCTTAAAAAATTGTCAATGATTGTTTATTTTAGAAATGCATGACTCGATTAAAATTTCTATATCAATATTTTGCGTATGCATTATATATATATACATAAACGACAGATTATTTACACTGTGAAATGCGCAAATTGTGTCTAGAGTTTTTATTATAAGAAAATATTTATTCTAATTTTATCTGCGATAACACGTAACAAGTTAATATTGAGTCACCATTTTGAATTTTTTTTTTATATAATTATAATCGATACTAAATACAAAGTGAAACGGAGCAAAGAGGTAGAAATAAATGCCCTATCGCATCTGAGATTATTAACATTGAAGTAGGGGAGCCTATGAGCCGGTTTTCCAAGAGCGTCCTTCAAAAGCAGTTCAGTATCGTTCGGGATTTTTTAGTGTGCCGCCATAGAAATTATATATTGTTTATTTAAAAAATAAAATTAAATTAAAAATAATATGGAACGTTTTTCTTGGTCGAGTTTAAAGAAGAGTGTTTGGTCCATTTCGGCCATGTTTGTAAGAACCAGGCGGAGAAATGACAACCAACTCAAGAATAGTGAAAGTGACCAGGTTCCTCAAGACTTGGGATTGGATAACACGATATTTACGAGTGAGTAAGAACGTTTCAGATTATGGAATTTGGAGGAGGGGGGCGCTCAGTCAATTATCTTGTTTTAATTCTAGTTTTAATTCATTTAAACTTTATAATTCTTTTTTTTACAAAACATAAATGAATCTATTTTTCTATATTAAAAAAAATCAATAAATAACATTTCCAAACAATTATTGTCATGTTGGACAAACATAATTGACACAAGTGATAACAGTACACGTATAGACCAAACATTTACACAGGTTTGGACTCACAACAATATTGAGATAACATAGCTTACAAGACACTAGTCAATTTAATTTACGATTCCGTTTTTTATTAGATTGAAGTGATTTGTTTAAACCGTACTAAAACTTGATTAGTTTACATTTGGTAATAATTGTTTATTTAAATATAAGAATAAATATTTCCTTATTATAAAAACTAATGAGAGAATTATCTTACTATAAATCATGATCAATTTAAGAAATTTGGTATGATACTCACATTATATTATTTTCACTTAACACTCAACATATGAGCCTTAGTTTAGCCCAAAAGCGGTCTTGGTCTGTTGCAAGACCAAGACTAATTAAAACAAAAACAAAAAGGCAAAATAGTTACTAATACTTGACAATTTTAGTTACTATATGCCACGGCAGATTTATGAACGAGCTTTTGGGCTGAATTCCTCTCTCCCCCCTCAAAAAAAACTCGTAAAATATAGCCATGTTTTATAAAAAAAATTATCTTAAAAAGTATTATTGTTCGTCTAATTACAGTTAATAGGACTTCAACAATCTCTTAAAGACCATTTCATATAGGTAGTTGTTAGTTTCTTTCTTCCGAAGTCACTATCCTAATATATTTATAAAAGAAAAAAATCTTTCAGTCTGAAGCTCCCCCCCCCAAAAATTAAATCCTGGATCCGTAAGTGCTATATTGTAAAGAATTGGTATAACAATATACTTCTACATTTACCTCTTCCAATTTTTCATTCGGACTTAGTTAGGTGTCTCCTATCTGAAAAATTACAGAAATGTCTCTATAGAAATAAGCTAATAGGTAACAGCAAGACTTTTGCGAGACTCTTGCGCAATACCAAGACTAATACTGAGTGCGCAAGACTAAGACTTCTCTCGGTCTCGCATTTGGGCAACACTATACTGTCTGATTCTCAAATTATATAATTTTCACTTAACACTCAACATATGAGCCTTAGTTTTGCCCAAAAGCGGTCTTGGTCTGTTGCAAGACCAAGACTGATCAGTACAAAAAATAATTTTTTTTTTTTTTGAATAAAAATTAAGGCAAAAAAGTTACTAATACTTGACAGTTTTAGTTACTATATGCCACGGCAGATTTATGAACGAGCTTTTGGGCTGAATTCCTCTCTCCCCCCTCAAAAAAAACTCGTAAAATATAGCCATGTTTTATAAAAAAAATTATCTTAAAAAGTATTGTTGTTCGTCCAATTACAGTTAATAGGACTTCAACAATCTCTTAAAGACCATTTCATATAGGTAGTTGTTAGTTTCTTTCTTCCAAAGTCACTATCCTAATATATTTATAAAAGAAAAAAATCTTTCAGGCTAAAGCTCCCCCTCCAAAATTAAATCCTGTATCCGTTAGTACTATATATAAAGATTTGGTATAACAATATACTTTTACATTTAACTCCAATTTTTCATTCGGGCTTAGTTATGTGCCCCCTATCTGAAAAATTGCAGTAATATCTTTATAGAACTAAACTAATAGGTAACAGGAAGACTGTTGCGAGACTCTTACGCAATACCAAGACCATATCGGTCTCAAGACTCGTATCGGTCTCGCATTCAGGCAACACTATACTGTGTGATACTCAAATTATACAACTGTCACTTACAACTCAACGTATGAGCCTTAGTTTTGTCCAAAAGCGGTCTTGGTTTTTTGAAAGACCAAGACCAAGACGGATAAAAAAAATTTTTAATTATTTTTAAAAAAATTTTTGGAAAATAATTAAGGCAAAATAGCTACTAATACTTGAGAATTTTAGTTACTATATGTAAAGAATTGGTATGGCAGTATCCTTTTACATTTAACTCTTCCAATTTTTCATTCGTACTTAGTTACGTGTCCCCTATCTGAAAAATCTTTATAGAAATAAACTAATAGATGACAGCAAGACTCTTATGCAATACAAATACCAAGACTGAGTTAGACCAAGACTTGTCTTGGTCTCGCATTTGGGCAACACAAATGAGCCTTTCAGTTGACAGAATGACTAACTACAAATTAAACATTTTTGAGTAAAGTTTAGTGATATTGATAGTTAGAAAATTTATAATATGAAATGAACGAATGAATGAAAAAATAATTTTATTCTGAGACTAAAGTCCCATAAGAATAATTATAACATGGTACAAAACATTGGTTAGTCTGTTTTGACAAAATACAAAGAAGTCATTTGAATCTTAATTTCAATTAGAATCGCAATCATAGCTGAACAATAGTAAACACTTTAACACTAGTACATTTCATATGTTTTATATCTATAGAAAGAAAAAGTAAATAGATAAATGAAATAAAATAAATTGAAACCTGTAGATTAATTGTTAGTAAACAGTTGTAATTACAGAATCCAATAAGTATTACATAGATAGGGAAGTTTAAAAATGATGTAGGTGTTGGGATAAGAGTTGTTTGAAGCAATTTAAGGTTGAGGATTGCAGTATGGTAAAGAATTCCAGAAGGAGGTACCACGAATGTCTAAGAATTTGCTGAATTATATAGTTTTATGAGAAGGGATATATAAATAAACGGTTGAGATCTGATAATAAGAGAGTGGTTAGAGGAATGTAGAGTAATGAGTTCCATGATATAGAGAGGATTTTGGGTTCTTAGGACCTGAAAAGAAAAATACCAAGACGGAATTATCGTCGGAAAGTAGGATAAAGCCACTTCAACTCGGTTTACCAGTGAGAAACATGAGAACGTCTGGGAATTCTAAAGATGAATCTTATAAAACAGTTCATAAGTCTCTTCAAGTTCACCTTCAGTCTTTCAGACAGTCCCCCATACACCAAGTAACTTTAGTCGAAGTGGAGGAAAACAAGGATCTGTTGAAGAGAGGTTACAAGGAGCCGTCTTGTTTTTTGAGGAATAGAATCACGGAATCTTAGGAGTTGTTTAAGAACAGTTATGGATTTTCGGGTTATCTGGGAAATATATTTTATATCTGGGGTTCCAGAGTGGATGATTGCAGTTTTGAAATATAAAACTGTGCATTTTCTCTCTAGAAATATCACTAAAGTTAATAATCGAAAAAGTTAGTCATTATGTCAACTGAAAGACTCATATATTTTAACTTAGAACGTTTACTAACTTATTGAAACTTACGTTTAAGACCGCAAAACAATATCCTTTTCTTTATAATTTATTTTCCTCAATATTCTCGGAAATTCACTTTATCTACAAAAAATGACTTTCGAAAAATTTGGTCAAAATCGTTAGAACTGTTTTTTGTTTTAGAATCTATGGAAAAACATGTTCTTCTCTTATTGTGCAGCTGCTATAGTGACCATTTTGTTCCATAGGCATCGATAGTCAGAACCCTACAAAATAAAAAATAGAAACAACAAAATCGGTCCATTTGTTCCCGAGATAAGATAAATAAATATTTATTAATGCGAACAATGTGCCTGCATCTCCTTGGAAAGTTTGAGTTAGTCGAGTTTGTATATTGTTTTTAATTTTAGGATTGATTCCAAGTTCTCATCAAGTGATAGGATTTTCTTGAGGATTTTTTCTCTTCTGAACTACTGAACCGATTTTGTTGCTTCTTTTTTTATTTTGTGGAGTTTTGACTACTGATGCCTATGACAGAAATTCGGTGCTCCATGTGATAAAGCTTGCACGCAATAAATGAAAAACATGTTTTTTTATAGACTGTAGCGCGAAAAAATCTCTAACGATTTTAATGAAACTTTCCTATAATGTTCTAATTATTGTCCTTTCAATTTTCGTATACACACTAAATTCCCGTAAAAATTCAAGAAAAAAAGTTACAAAGAAAAGAAATATGTTTTGGGGCCTAACTTCCTAAGTATATATTATACGGTCAAATTTATAATAAAACTTTTGAAAGGTAATTAAATTACCAACAAAACAAAAAAAAAATCATGGGAATCGAACCAGTATCAGCGATGATACAGCTTATTCTATTTTTTACACATTTTTTAACTTATTACTTTCCTACCTATACTAGGTAAGGAAAGTATTGCAATAGGGTCAAATTTCCGACATGCGGTTTTCGACGGATATATACGTTTCAGAGCCCTCAGAGTTTGGAAAAAACGCCGTTTAGCCATTCGTTTGAAAGGTTATGAAATTCCCTACAAAGCCATATAAAAATCGTTCATTTTGGACAGCGATTAACAAAGTCCAATTTTTTTTTTGTTTTTTCATGAGCATATGTAAAGATATAAAAACTTTTCTGAAATAGGTCGGAAAGTCGTGTGCGAGGACACACCAGATATATATTTTTTTTTAAATGAAAATATTATTGCGATATTTGTGACAGAGACGCACTTGAACAGCCACATGCGGCTCTGGAGCCGCACTTTGTCGACCACTGGTCCATACAAATGGTAACTATCGAATATGAAATATTTTCAATCCTGCACTCTAGCTATAGTAATTGTAATCAAATATTTTTAAAGAGCGAATAGAAAATATTCGAACATTTTTAAAAGCATATATAATACAGTGAAAATTAAAACATCCTCGTTTTTTGGGATAAATTAATAATGATATTAGAGTGATGATTTTCAAATTCGATAGTTTAGCATTTGTATCGACAATATGTGTAAAATCAATATCATAAACTAGCATTTCTGTTAAATTAATTTTATCGAAAAACTTTCTGTAACAAGTTGCGTCATCAAAATTTTTGAGGGGTGCATATTTTGACGTTTTTTTTTTTTATTTTAGAGGGGGAGGAGGTAAATTTTAATGGGGTTACGAATTTTCGGAGT